TATATATATATATATATTATTATTATTTTTTATTATTTTTTATTTATTAATTTATTTTTTATTATTATTTTCTATAATTTTTTTTTTTTCATTTTAATTATTATTATTTAAATTTTTTTTATTCTTTATTTTATTACGATTTATTTAAAGTTAATTTTTAAGTTTTTTTTTCTATAAAGCATATTTATAATGAATATTTTAGGTTTAATATAATGAAACATTAATTTTTATCTTATTTTTATTATTTAATATATATAATTAATCATTATTAATAAAATATATACTTTACTTTTATAAATTTGTTGATGAAACATTATTTTTTAGTCCATGAATTTTTTCACTTTTTATTTAATAAATTTTTAAATTTCTTATAATTATATATAATTTTAATATATATCTATTAATTTTTTAAAAGTATTCATAATTAAACATAATTAAGATAAAATATAGAAAGTTTATTTAATTAAATTATTTTATTATAAATTCTTTAAAAAAATTAAGAAATATACAGCCAAGTATCTTTAAAAAAAATGTTTATTAAACGTATTAATTTATATTTTATATTTCAATGTTTTTTACTTTGCTTTTTTTTTTTATATGCTTATAAATGTTATTTTAATTTTATTATTACATGATTAGCTTTTATTTATCGGAGTTTTATAGCAGTAATTATTGTATTTATATGAGATGTTTCCATTATTATTTTTTAAAAGGAAAGGTCTGCTAAGTTTATTTATTTTTTTCAGTTTTTTGAATTTGATTTTTCTTTTTATCGATTGAATTTTTTGAATTTATTTAGCTTTAGAATACTATTTTATTATTAATTTAAAATGTTTTTTAATGAGACGAGACTATTTTATATAATTCATTTTTTATTACACTACTTTTTTTAATTTATGTACATTTTAGATTGAATTTGTTTTTATTGCCTTTTTATATACTTTAACATTATTAAAGATTTCCTTTTTTAATAAAATTATTATTTTATTTATTTATTATTTTTTTATAAAAAAGCATTACATATTTAATTTTTATAGAAATGTATTTAAATTTATATATATATATATATTAAAATATTAATATTTATTTTTATTTAAAAATTTAGATTTTATTTAAAAATATATTTTTATTTATTTAATAATTATCAAAATAAAAAAATATATTATTTTATATATATATATATATTAATTAGATATTCAATAAATTTTTTTTTTTTTTAATATAAAATAATGTAAGAAAGTAAATTTGAATCAAAAGATTATTATATATAAATTGAAACTGAATATTATTAAATATAAAATTTAGCAATTATATAGGATGCATTTTAATTTAATTTAGACGAACGTTTAGTTTCAATAGCTAAATTTGGAGGGCCAATAGCCATATATTAAAATCCAAGTAGAAGAGATTTATTTAAATAGACTGATTTAACAAAAGAAAACATATGTTTTTATGCAAATAACGGGGATTTAATTAATAAATGTTAATTTAAATGTGAAAATAATTAAATTATAGTAGGATTTGATTTTTCAGAAGATGAATTACTAGTAATTTTGTTGTAAAATGGTATATATTTTTTAATAGATCCTTTTATTAATTCAATAAAACCAATAAAAAATTTGTTGTAAATACATTTTTTGAAAATGATGAAATTTAAAGTTGTAAAGTAATTATTAAAATTTTTAATTTATTTAAAATAAAAAATTAAGATTTAAGATAATAGTATGGCATATTTTACAAAAAGTTAAACATTTTATTTAATAAATGATATAAAAAATCCTTAAACAGATAAAATAATATAAATTAATGAATAAATAAAGCCTTAAAAATGGATTTTTTTAAAAACAGAATTAATATTTTATAATTAAAATGAAATTTAAAATTATAAAATAAATAATAATAATAATAATACTGATAACAATAAAAATAATATTTAAATAATTTAAAAAAATATTAATGTTTACTTAATGTAAAGTTTTTAAAGAAAAATATTTGCTTTTTTATAGTTAAATGAACGTGAATAATAATGGATTATTAATGTTTATGAAATAGAAAATTAAACATAATAATATTAAATTATAGTTTAAAACATGTATATATTATATAAAAAATAATAATAGAATATAGAAGAAGATCAAATGTAAAAGATTAATAAAAATAATAATATAAAAAATATAAATATATATATTTAAATATATTTACTTTTATTTTATTATAAAATAGATAAAATTTATTAATATAACTATTTTTTATTAATGAAACTACAATCTTAATAAATATTCAAAAAACTGGTTTTTTCTTAATTCCATTAAAATCCTAAACTTAAAAATATCTTGCTTCATAAGAGTCCTATGTTTTCCTCCAAGAAATCGACGGTTTAAAACTTCTTACTGAATCTCAAAATCTAATTTTAAGAAAAGTACCATAATCTCACGTTAACATATTCGAGCCAATATCTATTCATCCAGCCGCCTTATTGTTTGAAGCATTTCAATCTCTGCAAAATAAAGACCCTTTAAATGACGAAGACATTCGAAATGATAACTAAAGCCTTTTTATAGCAGTTTTAGACTGCATAGAGGCATCTAAATATGAAATCGGTATCTAAGAATAGGCCTTATTATTAAAAGCAGCTTCTTACGGGAAGATGTTTTTGTAATGTGGGAGGGAAAATAAACAAGAGAATATTTAAATAGGTGAAGTTTGTAAAATACTGAGGATTTTAAATGCTTTAAGGAGTTAATTTTTTCATAGAACTATGACTTATTATTAGTTCAAAGGGCTATAATAGGAAAATCTAGTTAAAATTTTAATGAGATATAATTTACATTATTTGGCTAGTGAAATTATATAATTTTTGAAGTTTCATGAAAGCCTTTAAAGCCTAGTTCATTTACATTGGGCTGGAGAGAAAGTTTAAGACGAAAAAATAAGCAATGAAGTGCTTTTAGCGGAAAAAATATATAAGAAAACATAATTTATTAAAGATATATAGTACTTCGAAATCGCTCAAAAAGCCTTAGATGTTGGAAAAGTGAATTTGGCGGTAAAATTGTTGGATTACGAGAAGAATTTGGAAAAGAAAGTCGAAGTTTTAGTCTGGATTTTTGAGAATAATAGTCTATGAAGCGCTTTTTTTGGAAAGAATTATAGAAGAATGCGTTTTGAGTTAAAATTCGGAATGTGTGTTTTTTTTGGTCGGCTTTTTGTGGAATTTTAAGGGGATTTCAGTGGATTCGAAGTGGAAGTTTTTCATGAAAAATGTTATTTTGGAAAACATCTTGGACTATATTTACTTGGAAATTAATTGTTTTCTGAAGCGGTTAATTTCTGGAGAGTTTAAGGGGACTTTCTAAAGGCTGGCTTGGTTTGGATTTAGAAGTGTTTGGGAGAAAATAAAGCTTTTTTGGAAGGTTTAAAGGATGTTGTAGGTGTTTTTTTTGAGGAAAATGGCGGGTAAGGGGATAAGTTTTATAGAGGCTTCGTAAGTGAGCTTTATTAGGGAATTTAGGGGGTTGTAGAAGAGGAAAATAAGGGGTTTTTTAAAGAAAATTTGGGTGTTTTTTCGATTAATGAACACTATTTGAAGAAGAAAATGATTATTGGGGAGAAAAACGAGAAGGAAATTAATAAAATAACAAAGAGCTTGGGGATTGGGGAAAAAAGATTAGGCTTAATTAAGATTAGAGTGTTTTTGGAAAAGGGAAAAGTTGATGAAATCGAGAATTTAGTTGAAAATTTAAATAGAAAGAAATAAATTATTCCATATGAAATTGTTGGAGATTTTTTAATTAAAAAAGGATTTTTTAAAGAAGGACTTTAATTAATTTAAAAAATGAATGATTTTGAAGAAATGAACTAGATTTTATTTAGAATCGGATAATAAAAATTAGCTGTTTAGAATGCAGTTTAGAAAAAAAACAGAGGATTATTATTATAATTAAAATCTTAGATTTTTAATGATAAAGAATTATTAGAATTAATTGATTAATAATTAAATTTAATTAAAAAATGAAATTTTTTTGTTTTTATTTTCTTATTATATATATAAATATTACTTTTTTTATTTATTTTTTTCATTTCTAAAAAAAAAAACGAAGAAGAAGAAGAAGGCAAAAATCTATTTGTTTTTTTATGAGTTTTTTTTTATTTTTTAAACAAAAAAATAATAAATATAAATGAAAAATTTAAAATATTAAAAAGTAATATGTTTGTTTATTTTAATATATTTTTATAGATGTTTTATATATATTTTTAATGAATTTTTTTTATTTATTTTATTTTTAAATTTTTTTTTTTTTTTTTTTTTTAATAATATTTATTTATTTTTTTCATTCTAAAAAAAAAATATATATATAATTACAAAAAAAAAAAAAAAACAATATAATATATTTTTATATATATATAAAAAAAAATATATAAATAAATATTTTTATTTTTCATAAAACTTTCTACTCTGTAAAAGCTTAATAAGTACTTTTTTATAAATTCGAAGTTAATAATTCCTATAATCTTTAAAAATCGGTTCTTAATCTAATATTTTCTGAATTTTTTTCCCTCATTTTTTTCTCGAGAAGTTAAATTCTGTCTTTATTTTGTTAATTTTTTTCCTAAAATTCATCTCTAAAAACATTAAAATTATCTTCTAAATTTTATTTGTCTATTTATTCTTTTTATTCAGTTTCATCATTTTAATCTTTTTATTTCTTTAATTCTTTTTCTAATTCAGAAATTAAATTTTCCTTATTTTCTATATCATGACATTGTTTTTCTATATACATCTCGAATTCTTCGTTATTTAAATTTAAATTCTCATTTTCTACTTTTAATCTTCTTAACTAATAATATATCTCGTTAATATTTTCCATTGTTTCTTTATAATGCTATAGATGATTTTATATACATTCTTGTGTTTTTCTCTCGTTTTAAAACTTTTCTTGCTCTATATTGTTCATATTCTTCTCTAGTAAGTTAAATTATTATAAATATTACTAATATGTACTCTCTTTTAATTTTTCTACGAGTTCTTTAGCATCATCTTTGGTCTCGTATTCTTTTTTTAGAATATAATCGTTTAATTTGTTAATTTCGAAAAGAGATTCGTCACAGTGTTTAGATTTTAAACGAAGGTTTTAAAGTATTTCTTCACATTTTTCGGTGTTTTCGAAATCTATTTCTTTAGCTTTTCTAATATTTTCGTCAGCTACGTTTAAAAGTTCACTTTAGAATTATTTATCGAGTTCTCTTATTTTGTTTTCTTATAATTTTAGCTATTCATGCATTTTGTATTATTATTGTTATTTTTAATTTTCATAATCCTTTAATTATCTCTCAGTTTTTAATAAATCTTATCTTAGTATATCTATATTGTTAAGATAAAAAGAAATTTAAATATAATTATATATATATATATAATATATATATATATATATATAATTATTTTTTTATTTATTTAATATACTATTATAATTTGATAATTCTTAAAATTCTTCTTCTTATATTTACTTTTTTTAAGCTTTTTCTTATATATTTTATTTTAGATTTCTTATATTTTTTTAAAAATTATCTTTATATTGTAAACCTAAAATTCTCTAATCTTCTATTTAGTTTTCTAAATGACCTATTATATTAATATTTTCTTTACCTGAGTATATATTTTACTATATATTATTTTATCTGTTATCAATTTATATATATTATTATTATATAGGTTATTATTATTAATATATATTAGATAAATCTCTTTCATTTAAACTTGAAAATGCATTATTTAAATTTTATTATATATTTCCTTATATATTTTTATTTTATAAATAAACTCCTCCTTCTTAATTATTATTTAATATATATTATATTTATTTATGAAGATCTTCAGATATTCCGTTTCCTGATAATTCAATATTTACTATATTTGGATTGTCCTATATAGCTGATAAAATAGCTCTTCCACCATTATTTCCTATTTCATTCCATCTTTTTTTTTAAATATATATATATATATATATATATATATATATATATATATATATATATATATATATATAAATTATAGTAATATGCCTTAAATCTAAAGAAATTAAAGTTTAATTGTTTCTTATAATATTAGATATGATATGCGCTCCTGTTGCATTTATTTTATTATTTTTTAAATCTAAATGACTTATAGATCTATTATTCACTAATAAAGCATATAAAGATTCTAAACCTGACAAATCAGGAAGTCCTAGTTTATTCCATTCTACATTTAAAGATTTTAATTAGAAATTATTCCTTAATGAATTAAATATTTAAGCAAAACCTATTGCAGATATATTATTTCCTTTCAAATCTATTATATTTATTTAATTTTGAGTTTTTAGAAAAGCAGATAATTCAAATGCACCTTCATCTCCAATGTACATTTCGGGTAAGGAAATACGGTTAGTGACAGATTGGCGTTATAATATTTATATTAAATTAGATTATTGATTTTATTATTATTATTATATTGGCATTATTATTCTTTATGGTTAATATATTTATTATTAAGTTCTATTATACATTTTTTTTTAATTTTTTTTTTAATTTTTTTTTAAAAAAAAAAATACAAATATTTTTTAAGTTTTAATAATTTTTTTTTTTGTAAATAAAAAAATATAAAATATATTTATTGTTATATATAAATTTAATTTTTATTTTTATTTTTTTTGTTCAAATTTCTTAAATTTTAGTTGTCTAATTTTCATAATATTATTCTTATTTTTTATTTTTCTAAACGAATTTTTCCATATAATTTTTTCTATTCTACAAAATCCTATCAACAATTTAATTCACATTAATATTATAACTAGACTACACCTATTAAAATTTCCCCATTTCCTTCGGCACTCTATAGGGATCATCACTAATTGGACATTCCATTTTCCCAATACTACCCGAAACAACCAAATCAATATTAAAAATGTCCATCATTTTTACATTAATATCCCAAGGTGCTCCAATAATAACTTCATCAACATACTTAATAGCTAATATTGATAAAACCCTTTCCTACAAAGATAATATAGGAAAACTATTTCCTTTTTTATCAGAAATTACATCATCATCATGTAAACCTACAATAAGATAATTTCCAAATTCCTTAGCTTTTTACAATGTAGAAATATGTCCTATATGTATCATATCAAAAGAACCGTCTATATATATAATTTTATCACCAACTTTCGGTTCTTGATTTCCTTAAGAAAATTGCCTTATTCTTTTCGTAGTATTCATAAGTTTAACTTTTTAGACTTATTTTTCATTTATATATATATTATTATTTGAATCTTTTTTATTTTATTCCTCTTCCTCTTAATATAAATCGCCTATTTTACTTGCTTCTAGGCCTTATTCTCCTGACATTTTTCGAATTTTTTTAATATTTAAGCTCGGCTCAGTTTTAGTCATTAATAAAAGTCTTCCCACTATATCTGTAGTGGATATTCCTTCTGTTCTTTTAAACATTACAAACCTTCCTTTTTCTTTAAATTCCCAATATTAATCTCTTCCATCAGGTAATAAAATCATATCGTCACCATGTGCTACGTGAGAGCAGTTTAATTAATCTAAAAGTTCTAAAGAAGGGTCATATGGCGCGTTTTCGAATATTTCGTCAACCCATTTACAGGCTCTTGCTATACCTACTCTTTCCTCGTAATTTAAGACAGGAGGACCTTTTCGTTTCAGAACTTCTTCCTAAGAAACTACTCCTAATACTAGAGTTTCGCAAAGTTATTTAGCTTATCTAATGGCGTTAAAATGACCAGAATGAGTCAAATCAAATACTCCGTCTACATATAATCTTTTTACTTTAGGAAGCTTTAAAGGAGGATATAATGGAATTTAAATAATTTTTTATTCAGATTATTTCAATTAGGTGTAGTGGAAGTTTAGAAAATCATTTAATTAAGCAATTTTTATATCGGCGTCTTTTTAAAGTTAAAGATTATTTATTTAATTTGATATTTAATAAATGTGATCTAAAAATTATTATTCTTTAAATTTATCAGAAGTTATTAATCGATTTAAAATTAAAGTTAAAAGAGAACAATAATTTTATAAATCATTAGTGTTTTAAGTATTCATTTTTAAATTTAATGATTTATGATTAAATATAAATGAATATAAGGTAAATGTAAATTATTATATTTATAAAAATAAATAATGTTTATATAAATATATATATATATATAAATATATATTGTTTTATTTTTAAATATATATATTTATATTTATTTTATTTTTATTTATAATAATTTATATTTAATTATATCTTTTTTTATAAAGAATATGTCTTTTTTTTTAATTTTTAATATTTATAAATATATATTTATTTTCTTTTTTATTTAAATATTTAAAATACAATATGTAATATAAGTTATTTAATATATAAATATATAATTTAATTATTTAAAATAATTTAATTAAAATTTTTAGAAATTCAAACACTTTAAAAATAAAGTTCTAATATATTTATTTTATTCAATTTTATTCATTAAACATATAATATATAATGTTATTTATATATATATTATCACAATTAATTATTATCAATATACTAACAATTTTCAATTTTTTAATTTCTTTTTTTTCTTTTTATAATCTTAAACATGAATTTCTATATCTTTATTTTATTTAAATCCATCCATATAAACTCTTTTTATTTTAAATTTATTATCTTTTTTTTGTATTTATTCTTTATTTTGCTTCATTTTCTTTTAAAATTTATTACCAAAAATATTATCATTTTAATCTATATTTATACAGTTTAAATGATTAAATCCTTCACAATATATGCATTTAATTTTTTCCAATTCTAATTTTTCAACTTTATTTTATCTCTATAAATTAATAGTATTACAATCTTTTTATAAATGTCCTTTTTTTTAACATTTATCACATCTTATTCTATTTATATTATTACAATTTCTTGAAAAATGGCCTACTTAATTGCATTTAAAGCAACACTACATAAAACATTCGCTTTAATAATGATTTTATAAACAAGAATAGCAATTTCTTTTTTATTATTTTAACATACAAGATGATATTTCTATTCGATTTTGAAATATTATGTATTTTTTCTCATTTTCTATATTTAATTATTTCTTTAAATTTTCAGGAAAATCCTTATATTCTCTATCAAAATAATGATTTCTTTTATACCTTTATTAATTGATTTAAGGTTCATAATAACCTTTCTAGTCTTCATCATCTTCGTATAAATATTAATAATAATAATCTTCTTATTATGATGAAGTTTCAACGAAATCTTCGTTTGATAAATAATGCATTTTTTTTTTTATTATTATTATTATTCAAAAAAAAAAAATTTAACCTTTTTTATTTATTTTTTTATAAAAATAAAATTATATGAAAAAAAAAAAAAAATTAAATTATATATATATAATTTTTTTAAAAAAAATTACATATAATGGATTTTATAAAAATTTGTTTAAAAAAATAATATTATTTTGACAAAAATATTAGTAATTGATTATATTAAAAACTTATTTTACAAATTAATATAATTTTAAAAAGGAAAATTAAACTAGTTCATATTTTTTTTAATTTTTATAAAAATTTCTTTTTATTCTTTAATCTCTATTAATCATAATACTAATTTTATTATTTTAATTATTCTTGTTATTTTTATTATTCATAAATTTATTTATTTTGCCATTCTTAATATTATTGATCTTTTAATTATTTCAATTCTTTACTTTATTTTCTTTTTTGAATCTTTATTAATTTAAAAAAAATAAAAAATTATATAAATAATAATATTATTACATCGGGAAAAGAAAAAGGATTTTTAATCTTTTAAATCATTAATTTTCTTCTATTATCTGCATAAACTTTTTATATTTAATTCGGACCTTGATGACTTTCCATTAAAAGTCTTTTATGTTCTTCAAATTTACTTGTTATTTTATAAAAAATAACTATTTAAATATAAATAAATATTTATTAAATACTCGTTATTAAGCTCAACTTTAGATTCTCTAGTTTAAACTCTTCCTTTAGAAAAATTAAATTTTTCCATAAGTAAATTTTGTAATTATAATATTCTTTATTTTTAATTATCTATTTGTTTTATAAATTAAAATTGAAAAAAAAATTAAATAAAAATAATAAATACCTTCAGGTTATGTTTAATAAAGAGTTTTTGAAAAACCTTATGTTATAGATAAATTAGATATTTATTTTTTATGGTTTTAAATAAATTATCCAGAATTTGTATATCTAAAATTATTTTAACTTCTTGACATTTAACTTTTAGACATCATTATAGTTTTCCAATATTACTTTGATTCGACAGATTTTTCATATGTTCTATATATATAAATATATATATAAATATATATATATATTTATATATATATATTTTTTATAGTTATTTGAACAAAATACAGATTTATAATTATAATTTTATTAATAAGTAATATAAATATTAATATATTATTTACATAAATTATTCAATTATATCAGATATATTATATCTTATCCTAGCACTATATTTAAGAAATTATTTACATTCTTTATCATCAAATTACTTGAATTCATTTTATCTATACATAAATCTATAATAATCTATACAATCTCTCAAAAACTCAACAATTTTTTCATATAATATAATATTATCTTCAAATGCAATATACTCATCACTAATTTAATTTACTATCATTTTCATGTAAGGTTAATGTTTTTCTTTAATAATTTAACTTTTTTCTAATTATCTATTATTACTTGTATTTTTATTATTCTAAATGTTACTTTAATTATTACTAGAATAATTTTAATCATTACTTTTTTCTAAAGGTTAAGTATTAAAAATTTCATAAATAATCTCATGATTTTGCTATTATCCAAATTAATTAATAAATTAATTCTTTTTTTTGGCTTCTTTTTTTTTTTATTTTAATTATTAAGGGAGTTCTAATTCCTTCACTTATCGAATTTAGGCTTCGATTTATTTTAAAATGTTCTTTAATTCAAAATCATCTTCAAGTTTAAATTATTCTAATTCCATTAAATGATTATTTAATTTATATAATTCGATTTTCTATTCGATTTTTTCACATAAGCTTTTTAAATTTGTCTTTAAACAATATAAAATTTAGTATTAATATTAAAGGTTTTGGGTCATGAATTTATATTGAAATTATTCATCAAGAATCTTGTTGAATATGTGTTCAATATAGTATTTTTAGTGCATATTTCTAAATATAAGGTTTAAATGTTTTATTCGATTTTCTTTAAAAATTAATAAAGGAGAATCTTCTTAATTAATTTCTTATAAATTATTCTTATTATCTATATATTTTTTATAAAATTTTTAAATTAATAAGTTTAAAAATATGTACCTTATAATAATATAATTGAAACACATTCACATAATGCAATTATTTCTTCTAGTTTTCTATTTAAATCTATTTTTTAAGATGGTCTTAATGAATTGAAAATCTGATTTTTTATTTTATTTAAATATAATATAAAATTAAATATAAAATGAATAACATTTTTTATCCTTGATTTGTCTAATAAAGAAGATTTTAAAATTAAACATTTATCCTATATAATCTTAGTAAGATTACTAATCATTATCTCCTACATTTATTAATCTGAAAAAAATATAAAAATGTAAAAAAATATATTATCGATAAATAAAAATATATATACCTTTTCTAGTAAAAGGTTCATATTAAACATATTTTAATCCTTCGAACATATTTTCACGAAGTATGGGAATAACATAAAAAGTTCTAAATCTTGAATACTATTATAATTTTATAATATCATAATCTTTAATAAATAATATATATTAAAAAATATAGATATATATATAAAAATATGTATTTATAAAAATATAAATATATAAATAAATATATAAATATATAAATATATAAATATATAAATATATATAATATTTTTTATTTTATTTTTTTATTTTTATTATTTCATTTATTTTCATATATATTGCCATTTATAATTATACCATTAAAAGTATAATCTTATTTTATTCTTTATAAATTTTGATTGTTATTATCATTTGATCTTTTTGACTCATTTATTTGCCAAATTTCATTATTATTTTTATTAAAATTTGATTGATTTATACTTATTTCTTATTAAAATTCTTATTATATATTATTTTTTATTTATTAATTATTATCATTTATTTATTCATCTTTTATATTATCATCCGATGTTTTTTTATTTATACTTAATTTTTATGTATCATTTTTAAAAAATAATTTTCGAGTAGAAGGCTTATTATTTATTTCTTATTATTATGTTTATGTTTAAATATTTTATTCTTATATATTAGAATCGCTTATTTACATATTGTCTTTGTCTTAATTATTATTTTACATTTACGGTTATATTGTTGTTCTTAAACTTTTAAACTATGAAATATTATATTAATATAATTTGGTTAAATATTCTCTATAAAAAGGATTATTCGAAAGGTCTATATTTTTATATCTCTATTCTTATTAAATTATGTTTTTTTATTATTCTGGCTTTTATAATACTTATAAATTTTCTTCTGTTTATTGGGAAATTATTTAATGTTGATTTTTTACGTTTTTATTATATTTGATTTATTGTTGAGACTATAATAAAAAAATATAATATATTTTATTTTTTAAAAAACCTTTATTTTATTAATATTTATCTTATTATGATTATTATGAATTCATTATTTGTTTTTAAATTAATTTTTCTTACATTTTTTTATTATATATATATATATAAATATATATATTACGGTTTTTTTTTATAATATATTTATAGAGAGAGAAAGGATTAAAGTATTATTTTTAATATTTAATTTTTATTAAAAATAATATTTAAAAAAATAAATAAAAAATAAATATTAAATCTAAAAAAATAATATATAAAATTATAAAATAGTTAATAAAAATAGATTTAATTAATAATTTTTTTAATATTTATATATATATATTTAAATATATTATTATTATTTTTTATTTATTTTATTATTAATTATTTTTTTCTAAATATATAATATTTTTTTAATTATTAATATTAAATATATAATTTTAATATTAATTTTTTAAAAATAAAATATTAAAATTTTAATTATATAATTATATATTATAATAAATATTTAAAATATTTTAATATTTTGTTATTATTTTATGTTTTATAATTATATAAAATTAAAAATAATATAAATATAAAATATTTAATATATATTTTAGTTTTTTCTTGTTTAAATTAATATATTTTTTATTATTCTTATAATTTTTAATAATATTATATTTGTAAATAATTTTTTTTGTTATTTTTTTTTAATCTTCTTTATTTATCTATATTATATGATAAAAAACATTAAAAAAAAAATTTTAATAAATTTTAATTAAAACATACAATAATCAATAATAATATTATATTAAAAAAATAATTATTATAATCATATTTATTTTAATTAGTAAATATAATTTTTAATTTAAAAATTAAAAGTCAATATAATAAAAAAGTAAATAAAATAATTTATTAGGAAAAAATGGTAAAATCTTGCTAATAATTATTATGTAATTATATATATATATATATATTGTAAAAATAATAAAAAGGTAATATCTATAGTATAAAAAATCTTCATTATCACAAGAGAAATGAAAAATAATAATTATTAAATAATGATAAGAAATCTCCTATATCTATAAAAACATAATTTACAGATGATTTTATATTCTATAAAAGTAAAAGAACATTCAAGAAAAAAATTAATTTAAGAAAAAAAATAAGAGTTGAAGGTCATAGAGGCTCAGGAATTCTCTATGCAGAGAATACAATTTAGAGTTTTGCAAATGGAATAGAATTAGGATTGGACTCAATAGAATTAGATGTTTGGTTTTCAAAAGACAATAAAATAGTGGTATTAAATTTATATTATATATAAACATATATATATATAAATATAAATATATATATATATATATATATATATATAATATTTATATATATATATATATATTTATATTTATATATATTTTTGAATATATATATTATATTTAATGTTTAATGCATTATTATTTTTTATTTTATAGGTTGTTCACGGTACAGATGATCATACTTTATAATTAATAGATGGTTCTTTTAAAAAAATTATAGATATGACATATTAAGAAATGTTAGAATAATATACAATTGAAGAAGGTTAGAAAATTCCATTATTACTAAACGTATTAGAACTATGTAAAGGAAAATGTAGAGTTAATATAGAACTAAAAGGTGATGAGGAAAATTTGTGTGAGGAAATTTTAAAGTTATGTATTTAAGTTGGAATTGTAGATAGAATTCATATTAGCTCATTTAAACATATTCATTACAATTATTTTTGTAATGCCATTAATAAATTAAATCTTCAAAAATTTAAAATTTAATTTGGATATTTAATTTCTTAAAATAAAGATTTTGATAAGTTTAATTAATGGTAATATAAAAATAATATTTTAGCTTTTCCTATTGATTTTGTTTATGATACATATAGCCTTCCGTTTTTGTATAAAGCTAAAAAAAAGGAATGTAACTTTCTGTCTATTTCGATTTTAATATTATTGAAAATCACTAGATATACAAAAGACTTATTGATTTGGAAATTGATGTTATAATAACTAATTAACCGAATTTCTTAATTAATTTCATAAAAACAAAATGCACTTGAATTTAATTTTTTTTTTTTTTTTTTTTTTAAATGTCAATTTAATTTACATATTTTTTTATAAGAAAAAATTACTTGCCTTTTCTAGTTGTTATTTTTTTTTTATTATCCATTCTTATTTTTCATTTTATTTATTTTTAATATTTTTATATAATTACTGTTTTTTTTTTTTTTTTAAATATATATATATTAAACATTTATCGTTTATAATAAAATAATACATATTATTAAAAATTTAAATAAATTATATTAAAAAATATATAATTAAGAATGTTTTGATAAAATTAAATATGCAATATATATATATTTTATATACCATATATATTATTTTAAAATAAAATAAAATTTAATAATAAATAATATTTTATTAATAAAATATCGTTAAAATAATATATTTTATTTTATTATAATATTTTTGTTTTTATATTTACATTCAAAAAATTCTTTAAATAATTTTTTTTTATTTTATTTATTTAAACTATTACATATATTAAACAAATATCATTATTTAGTCATCCCATTTCTTATTAACTCACGATCCGCTTTATAACATCCGAATAAAGCGCATAAAACAGTAGAACAAGGTACTCCCATTCTTTTTTTATATTATTTAAAATCATATTCTTTAATAATTCTTTATAATTCCTCATCTTCATACTTTTTAATCATTTTAGTTTTTTCTTCTATTTTTTTAGAAAGTGATTCATATTCTTTAACAAATTCTTCTCTGTTTTCATACTTTTATTATTATTTTAATTTTTAAATAAAAAGCTTAAAATATATATATTTTAATTACTTTCTTTATAATTGCATTATTCTCATAAATAAAATTTTAATTAGTTTAGTTGCTTTAAACTTAATTATTACTTTTCTTTTTATTAATAATAAATATATATATATATATATATATATATATATATATATATATATATATATATATATATATATATATATATATATATATATATATATTAATAATTACTTAATCTATAGTATTTTCAATTTATTATATAAACTATTATTAGAAGTTAAATTTCGAGTTTTTAATAAGAAGTTTAATATTTTTTTAAGTCTAAATAAATAAATATAAATGAAAATATAAATATCTATATATATATAAATATATTTATTATGTATATTTACATATATATATTTAATACCTCATTATATATAATATCATTAGTAGTTAATTTGGAAGTATTTAACTCATTTAGAGTTCTTTAAATGATATTTTTCTAACTATTTTCGATTCCTTAAGTAAGATCTTCTATATCATCCATTTTTTCGATTTTTCTTTTGATAGTTTCTTCATACTTGATTTAACTGACATTAATTTTACCTAAATTAATATTCAAATCATAATTCTAGAAATTGTTTTCTATTTAGCTATTCTATATATTATCAGTTTTATAAATATCTTCTATTACAAATCCATCTATTGAATCCATATACTTACTAATTAACATATTAGCCTTATAAATATTCAATGAAATATTTAAAATAGAGACTATTTCTTATAATTCTTAAGATTTTTAAGCCCTAAAAATTAAAAATTCCTTAGCTTTTTAATCTAAAAAATCAGGAAGTTAAGAATCAAAGACTTTTTCACCAGAATTCCAAATACTTTGAATAATCCAGGCAAGTCCTTCACTTCGGCAATCTTTTCCTATTTTGAGATTTTCAAAGAGAAAGATTTTTTTTCCTTTAATATAATTTTTATACTCTTTTTTTTTCTTATTAAGTTCTCTTTCGTTTTCTTATATTTTTTTATTATTTTTGTCTATTATATTGGTATAATTTTATATATTTTTTTTTATTTTGGCTATTTCGCTTTCTATATCATTTATTTTTTATACATTTGTCATTAAATTATCTATTAAAAGTTACCTAGACTATAATTATGATTATGAAAATTAAACTTAATTTTATTTTTATTTATTCAATGAACAATTTTGGCTTTAATTTAATTCATTATTAGGTTCATTTTTTTAAGTTGTACAACTATTTTTTACTGTCGAGCTTTTTTTTTAGTCGTCATTTAGGTCATTTTATAGTTATTATTGAAGATTTTATAATTGACGGATTTTTTTCTATAGTGTATGGTTTTCTAGACGTAAAATACGTGCAGTGTTTGTTTTAATTGATATAAATTACTCAGATTCTCGTATTCTTTATACTAGATAAGACTCAATTATTCCAGCTTGCTTTTCGTAAAATCTAATACGGTCAATTATGCTTTATACACCATCTCCTTCTGTCGTTTTGAATAAATCGTTGATTTATTAACGCATTTATTCCGGAGTAAATTCTATTTATAAATTATTTTCACCTTCGAATTTATTTCCTGTTTAATCATTAAAATCTGCTGGTTCTTTTATATATTGAATTTTGTTTGTTTGTTTATTTATTTTTATTTGTTACGTTTTTTTATATAATTTTTAATGTGTTTTTGGACATTTCTATTTTCATCTTCTATAAAATAATTATAGGTATTGGCTTTTACTTTTTCATTTATGCTTTTTAATTATTATTAGAAGATTTTAAAAAAGCTATTATTGTATTATTATTAAACCTAATATTATTATTATTAAACCTAATCTTATTATATTTTAACCTAATCTTATTATTATTATTATTATTATTATTATTATTATTATTATTATTATTATTATTATTATTATTATTATTAGATTTAATTTGATTCTTATTATTTTTATTTATTTTATTATATTTATTGATTATTTTTTTTATCTTGTTAATTTGAATAACTTTTGAATTATCGAACATTCGGAGGAGGTGTTTATTATTTTAAAAGCTTAACTAGGTTTGGTAATTTTATTTATTATTCTTTTTATTTAAAATCAATAGATTAAAAAGAAAATGTAGATTTGGACATAACTCTAGTATTATTATGAAATTATGGTTTTTATTTATTTTATTAGGAAATATTATCAATTATTTATTTCTTTTTTTGGATTTTGACCCAATTTTCTAAACCTTCTACTGTTTTTATATCATTTTATTTTTCTTATCTGTTAATAATCTAGTTATGTTTTTATATTTATTATTCCTCATCTAATTAATCCTCTAATTTTTTATAACTTTTTTATATTTATTTATTTTAATATTTTATTTTTTTACATTTCACCTAATAAAAGTATATTTTATTTATCTTTTTTTTTTAATTGGTTTCTTATTATTTATTCAAATTTATTTAAATGCATTTCTTTAAATAATTTACATTCCCCAATTAAAGCTTTATCACTTATTTAATGTTAGGTTCGAAAGTTTGTATTATTACGCTTTTTTGCCCTAGATTTATCATATAAAGGGATTTAATAAAAATTTAGGTCGTTTTATTCATTATGTAGAATTTTATTTTCAATGTGATTTTTAGCAATGTTTTATATATCGATTTATTGACAGGTTTTTTTGACTAGTTTAGGAAATTATACAAGTTGATCTTTACTATAAGATATATATTAGGTACTGCTTTTGTTTTTTATCTTATACCCCGGCATAATTCTGTTGAATAAAGATCAAAATCATTAAATTTATTTATATTTGTGTTTTATTATATTTGATGGGAAATATTATAAAAACTATAGTTTTTGTATTTAACATGTTTTTATTTTTAACTCATTAATTTGTTTATATATTATTTTACTATTAAGTGTTTAAATAAAATTACTTTATAGTTTTATTTTTATAAAAAAACGATTTATTTATTATAAAATTAATACTAAGTATTAATAAATTGATAAAAATAATAAAAAAATAGTATTTAATATTAAGTAAACAAATAAACATAAAAATGTTTATATATATATTATATATATAATTATATATATATTTATATATTTAAAATTTAATATATATGTTTATTTATACATATAAATATTTATATTATTTTTCTTATTTTTATTTTTAAATTATTTATTTATAAAATTATTTTATTTTATCTTATAATTTATATATATATTTTTTTTTATGTATTTTTATAAGATTTTAAATTATCTTGATGTTTGTTATTATATTTAAATTTTTTTTTTTTAATTATTAAAAGAAATAAATATAAATTTTTTTTATTTATCAATATATATTATAATTTATTATATATTATATATTTTGTATTAATAAAAATTAATTATTTTTCTAGTTATATTAAATTTTACAAAATAAAAAAATATATAAAATTTTATATTTTTAATCTATTAATAAAAGGTGAAAAGAATCCAATTGTTAATAATGTAATATTATATATTATTTATTTATATGATATTTTTAATTAATATTTATAAACTTATATTTATATAAATATAATTATAAATTAATTAATATGTATAACATTCATTATATATTGATTAAAATTATTATTTTGTTATTATATTTTTTCTTAAGTTATATTATAAATTATAATAATAATATTATTATTTAAAATTTTATTATATAAAAAGTTCTTATTTTATTTTTATAAATACTTAAAAAAAATGCATTATGTATATTTCTTTTTAATATTTTAAACAATATTCTGTTAAAGTAATTTTTATTCATAATTTAAATATAATATTTATATTATTTAAATATGCTATATAAAAGCGACATTAAACAATGCATTTTAAAATGGATATTAATAAATTTTTAAAGAACCTATAAAAGATTATGATAATATTCAATTTCCTACATAAATAACATTATTTTAATTTAGTAATTAAGATATAGTAAACCATAAGGCTATAACAATATCATTATGGGTTAAAAAGATATAAGTATTATAAAAATATATAGAAGAATATAAAATTCCATTATATTATATAACATCTTCGAAGTATTTTTATTTTAATAAATAAAATTATTTAATTCTATAAAAAAAAAATAAGATTCGGAAGTATATTACCATAAAATGGTAATATAAAATTAATGTTTGAAATTTAAAAAAATAATTGCATTTTTAAAACTTCATCAAAAACTTTAAATAACGAAACTGATACAATATAAAAATTTGATACTAAAGAAGTAAATATAACTTAATAATATTTATATATATATATATACAAAATTAAAAGCTTTTTGATGACGAAGAATGGGTATTTATCTTTCATTCACGTCAATTTGATTAATCTATAGCTTAAAATAATAGAATGTTTTCTTATATTTTAAGAACTAATGTTTATAAAAGTATATAAAAAGAAAATACTGATTTGGGAATTTATGGATATTCTGATAGTTTTGGATAAAATATTAGTATTTATTTAGGAGGAGTTTTAAGGCCTGAAGGAATTAATTGGGTGGGGAAAATAGGACATGCAAGAATTTATTTTGATTCGTATATAAATGATATAAGTTTAATAGAATCTTTAGTTTATTTTTAAGAATAGAAAATAACAGTAGTTAATTTTGGATCAAAATAAGAACTAGGAAAAAGTATTTAAGATAAATAGGAGTTTATAATAGAAAAAAATTTTAGTTTAGATGGTTCAGTTTTTATTTAATTTTCATTTATTATTATGGATATTAAAGCAGTTTTGAAAAATAATATTTTCTAAATTTATAGTGTAATATATAATAAATATACAAACAAATATAAATATACTTATAAATAAAAATATTTAATAATTTTTAAAAGAATTTTTTTCTACATATATCAAATAAAATTGCTTAATTAAATTAATTTTAAATTTTTTGATTAATAAAATTAATATTAAAATATACAAATTTAATAAAAAAAAAAATTTAAAAAGTAAATAATAAATATATATATATTTATATATATATTTATATATATATTTATATATATATATAAATTTATAACTTTTTTTATATAATTTAAATATTTTTTTACAAATAATATAATATTATCTATTTTTATATAAATATATAAACAGACTGATACAGATTTTTCTGATAAATTTTCAATTTAATTTTTATTAGATTAGGTTGTCATTTTTTTTAATGGAGATTTCATAATTATTGATAGAAACTTGTTTTCTTTATAAATGAATTTATGGATTACCTTTCGTATATAAATTTTTAAACTTTAGGATTTGTCTAAAATTATTTTTAGGATATTTTTCGAAACATAAACATCTAGTAATGTCCTACTTATTAATAATACTTAATTGTCATTTCCTTTAGATTTTAAAAATAGATAATTTCAAATTAAGTTTGTATCAAAAAGCTAAATAAAAATAGCTAATATTTTTGTTTTCTAAGGCTCTGTTTTTGTTAGTAAAAATTATTTAAGCATTTCTAAATAAATTAATAATTGCAGTTTATATTTAATTGGGTTACAAAATAATATTTAAATTATTCAATGTATTAAATGTGACTTTAATTTTGTTTTATCAGATTTTAATACTTGCTTAATTAATTAATGTAAATTTAAGTAATTATAAGTTGTTGATAATTTATTAGGAGTTTGTTATGGTATAATTTTTTTATATATTCATTTATGTATATTTATAGATTTAATTTGTGATATTAATTGTAAAACATGCCTAGAAAGCGATAGATCTAATTGTTAATCCTGTCCTGAAGGTTTTTACATAGAAGGAAATTTATAAAATGGAGTATATACAAAGGGAAAATGTTAATGTAATTTAATATATATTTATATTTATTTAAAATTAATAAATATTTATATAATTATATATGTATTTACAAATATTTTTAAAATAAAGAATGTGATTAATAAAAATGCAAAAAATGTACCTCTTTAAGTATTTGTTAAGAATGTAAAGAAGGTTTTTTTTTATAAAATAATATATGTAATCCTTGCTCAAATATTAATGATTGTATTTAATGTTTATAATAATAACCTTTAATATGTACTTAATGTGATATTAAATATTTATTTAATGGATAATGTGTAGATGAATGTGATTTAGGATATTATAAATCTTCATTAGTTTTAACTTAAAAAGGAAAAACCTGTGAAAGTAATTTAAAAATAAAATTTAAATATATTATATACATACGCATTTTTATTAAAAAAAATAGGATGTGATAATTTTAATTTAGGATGCTATGCTTGTAGCTATAATATTTAATAAAAGCTAACTTGTACTATATGCTAAATGCGTTAAATAATAAATGGAATAATAGTAATTTATTATGAGTATAAATCTTCAGATAATATAAATTTATGTTACAGTAAATGTCCTTATGGATTATATGGAGATAGTTTTTCTTTAAAATGCGAAAATTGTCATTCAAGTTGCCTATCTTGTATTGATTCTTCAACTTTTGTTTAGAATGCAATGAAAAAGAAAACCTTATTTATTTATAGACTCAATAACATAAAAATAAGGTTGTTCTTTAGATTGTGTAAAAGAGTATTATATAGGAGATATAATAATATAAATAAAAGAAGGATACAAAATAGATAATATATAAAAGAAATGTGTTTGTATAACATAATATATATATAAATATATATATATATATATATATATATATATATATATATTATATTTTTATAAATATTTTAGTGTGTTAATAAGGATGTTTAATATGTGATTAAGGAATATGTATATTAGCTGATAAATATAATACTATAAAATATTAAGATATACCAAATTTTAGTCCACTTTCTGAATCTGAAATATCAACTTAATGTTAAAATGGATATTTTAAAAATGGGAATTCATTAAAAGATACATATACAATATGCTTTAAATGTTCTTAGCAGTGCAAAACATGTATTTCTTAAATAGAAAATTCCCAATATTAAGGAAATATATGTAGTTCATGCTTTGATAGTAGTTTT